TTTTTTAGCATGTTTGTACAAATACTGTCGCAATTTTTTCGCCATGATATAGGAATTTGAACTATAGGAACCAGTGTTATAGGNAAAAAAAATAATAATAATAATAATAATAATAGGGGTGCCGTGAATTTTGTTTAATAATTTCAGTGTGCCACCAGACAAAAAAATTTGAGAAACACTGGACTATGCCATTGCTTAAGCTTGTTTTCGTCGTGGAGCTTGTCATCGAATAGTGCTCGTGTGCTTCCTGATAAATTATTTTTTTTTTGCAAAAAATTTGCTGAACTTTGGAGACATCATTAATATAAATATAATTTTTATGGATGTTAAATAATAAATGGTTTTTAGTAGGTTTGCTGCTCGTTTAAACTCAACGGTTTGTACAATATCCGCTATTGGTTTGGATTCGAACAATCCTGTCACAACACGAGTCGGCAATGACATTTTACCGAATTATAGGAGTTTTTTTAGCATGTTTGTACAAATACTGTCGCAATTTTTTCGCCATGATATAGGAATTTGAACTATAGGAACCAGTGTTATAGGGGGGTCGACTGTACTTAATCCCTAATGTGCTAGAATAGTTAGGTGTATGCATATGAGACTGGAAACATGGGTGGAAATTGTTCACAGAGAATTTTTTTGGCATCAAGATATTTCAGCATGAATAATGACAACACATGGGAGTGAATGAGAGTAAATACACAAGCAGTAAAAATATCAGCAAATAATCTGGTTTCTTCATTATCCTCCATTTATGATTGAAACTACTGAACTGGCCCAGTCCTTCTGACCAGGGTTGTCAAGCAGGTGTAGAATAGGTCCCTTTTTCACCTTAGCAGGCCCCTTGTGCCATTTTTTTTTAGCAAATGAAATATGTAGAATGTTTCTTTATTAATAACATGCATTCTCAAACATATTGTTTTTGTTAGAAGAAATAACATTAATTTATAGAGATAGTAACTGCTATTGCTCCCAAGTTTTCTCTGAGCCCAGGGAAAAATCCTCTCAAAAATTCTCCGGGCCCAGGAAAACTTTCCCTTTCAATGACCCTGCTTCTGACTTCTGTGCAAATTCCATGCCTAAACTTTATGTGTAAAAACATCCATGTGTTCCTAGCTTTAAAGTATAATTTCATAAATTCCTCATGACTTACACCACAAGCTAATTGACTTCGTGTCTCAAAAAGTTACAGTAATGATTAAAGCCAATAATTAATTGATTGCCTACAAAACTGTCAACCCTTGAATAATATACGTGAAAAATGCAATATCAAAAATATATGCTGTTTAAATTCACCTATTGACTTCAAAAATAAATTAAATAATATTAATAAAAAAGATGCTTACAAAATTTATAATTTTTTTGTAAAATTTACTGAGAAAATTCTCTGTAATATTTAACCATTGGCTTATCATCACAACTTTAAATCCTAGAAAATGAATTACTAAGACAATTTGTATTTTTTGAGTTGTTTAAAGCATCAACTAATGTTATGTTGTTAAGTCATGTTGACTTACTGATTTATTTTTTTAATTATGTTTCTTATTATATAATTATGTAAAATAAAATGTAAAATTATATTACTATATGTATACCCCCCAAAATAGGGGAAATTCCCTTGGAAATAAATTATTATTATTAT